ATAAGGCAACGTTTGTGTACCACACTTTGTAAGGAGGTAAGCTGCAGAAGAACACTCACATTACAACTGTCCACATATAGCTCCAATCCTGCTTTTAAAGGAAAAGAGAGCTTGTTCCGATGAGCTCATCAAGCTTCTAACACTTCATCTGCCGCTTCAGAACCAGCGCCATATTCTCATATTAATTAAGCATGGCCCATCTCACCGTCACCCGTCAACAGAGCCATCTTTTATTCATCTGTCATATGGCTGGCATGTCTGCAAACAGCTGCACACAACAAACCTCGGCACACAAACAGGCCTGTTGGAGAATTGAATCTGCTCCACACTCGATATGGATGGGAAATACTGAGCACAATATGTTGTCTTGAACTCCAAATGGCTTCCATAGGCAATCCTACGTTATTGAAGTCCCTTTGAATGAATGTAAAATAACTCAAGCAAAGTTAAGATCTAACATCATTGTTTGTCTGATAAATCTGTCAATAGCAGATTAAACCTCACCAACTCGATTTATGGGTGAGTCGTGTCTAGACTAGAATAGCAGGAGGACAGAAGCAGTTTTTGCTGCAGTGATTCCAGTCAAAAAGTTGAAAAAGATTATATTAAATTACAGTTGTGGTGGATAAAGAAACAAAGTTAAAATGATGAAAGTATCTACAGTGCTGCCTCATGTTACATTAAAACGGCTTACTGGCATGGGGTGTTTTTATTGGAGCTCATGATGCAACCTCGCAGCACAGACTGAACTCAGACTCTTTTTACAATTGTTCTCAATCCACCTTTTAGCCGACAGGATCAGGTTCCCGCTGCCTGACACGCCGCGTCCCGCTAAACTGCCTTTGATTTTGTGGTCCCTCACCTCAAATGGTGACAATTGACAATCACTGATTCCCACTGATAACACGGCCTGCACGTGCACCTAAGGTGCCGGAGTGCATGTGGCGCTAGGAGGGTTGCCGTGGTTACTGGGTCTATGTCTATGCACAGAACACATTATCCACGTTGATTGTTAGGTTTGACCTCCAGATTTGCATATTACCACTCTACGCTGCAATAGCGCAAAAACAATGAGTATTTATGATCATAAATCATCATGATCATTATAAATCATCACAGGGCATTAAAACATGTTGTTTCAATAGGTGAGCAGCTGCTTGGTGAGCAGAAAGGGGGAGAGGAAAATCCCCTCACAGCACACAGGAGTGATTTCTCAGCACAGACATCTTGCATTTATTAATAAATTGGGTGCCTGCAGTCTGCAAAGGTCCTGCGTCATATTACAGGCAGCTCACTGCAATGGCTGATAGTGATATGTGACTTTTAATTCAAGGCCAATATTGGCAAATCCATATTACAGTCCAAGACAAACACGTGTGCACACACAGGTTTAGGGGGGGCGGGGGGCACACACACGCAGACACACACACAGATGGGGAACAGATTTTGTTGTTTTGTCTGAGAAAGAAGGAGCTGCGAGGCTCCACATGGAACTGTCAATGAATACGAAGTCAGAGATGAGAACTCGCTGTCAGGATTCCCTGTGCATGCTGGGAAAGATAAATTGAAGCACAGGGAGAGAAGGAGAGGGGGGAGGACTGGGAAGCATGAAAGCTCAGAAAGGAGGACGGAGAGACAGAGAGGGTGAAGGGATGGAACAAGAGAAAGGAAGACATGGAAGGAGAAGTATGACGAGGAGAAGAAGAAGAAGAAGAAGAAGAAGAAGAAGAAGAAGAAGAAGAAGAAGAAGAAGAAGAAGAAGAAGAAGAAGAAGAAGAAGAAGGGAAGAAGAAAGGAAAGAAGAAGAAGAAAGAAGAAAGAAGAAGAAGCGAAAGAAAAGAGAAGGGAAGGAAGAGAAAAGAAGGGGGGGAAGAAGAAGAAGAAGAAGAAGAAGAAGAAGAGAAGCCGGAAGAAAGAGAGTGAAGAAAGAAGAAGAAGAAGAAGAAGAAGAAGAAGAAGAAGAAGAAGAAGACATTGCCGCTTCTTTTGGACTTACTGACTGTCAAATATATGGAATTAGTTTTGTTTCATAAAGATAAAGGAACACTTCCTAAGAATAAAGCAAAACTAAGAGTTTAAGAGAAAAAAAAATGAATCAAGCAAAATAAATGTTATAAAAAAATAAAACTATAAGTTGCAAACAAAGCCTTTGTGTAATCATGTAAAAATTATAAGTATTTTTTCTTTGTTTTAACATATCTTTTTGTTTGCAGTTCTTGTTTCTTCTTTCTCAATGATCAGACTTTTGCTCTTGTTTGCGCTCCCTCATTTTTTTCTTCCGATTCTGACACAAACGCCCCAGGTGGGCGGGACTTTCAGGGGTGCGTCCCCATTGGCTACTCGGTTTTTGAGTGACAGCCCAGTCCTCCAGCGATTGTACAGTGCAAGCAGCTGTGGTGCGGTAGCAACCCAGTCTCACGGCATTTCGTGTTCACCAACACGATTTTTAATCTATTGATTCGTGTTCACCAACACGATTTGCCCCTTTTTTTCGTGTTGCACAGCACGATTTTAAAAGCAATGTATTTCTACTGCCTGCAGCACGTCTTTTTCTCCGGTCGGGTCGTGGAAGACCGGAAGCTGTGTGGTTCATAAAAACATGTTCTTACTCAATATCAAGCCACGATTATTGCTTTTATTTTAAATCGTATAATTTCGGACTTTTGTTGCCGTCTGTGAGGAAAATAAATGGGGCTCAGAGCCTCAGAATACAGAAATCTATATTTTTAAATATTTTTTTCCTTCTAATTTGTTATTCTTTTCAAAATAACACACTGTTATTTACTCACCAATAACACACAATTATCCTTGCTTTTATTTATTGGTTTAATTCCATAATCTCAGGCTTTTTTGGCGTCCGTCAGGAACTGAATTTCAAAATAAAAATAACCGGAAACAGACTATAAGGGACATTTCGAGCATCATTGCGATTGTCAACATTTCTGAGTTTAGGATGGCCGAAGACACTACACTACCCATAATCCCCAGCTATCGTTTAGGACTATAGTCCCCGTGATTAATCTTCAAACTCTGGGATTGGATGTTGGAGTGGCAGTGCGCCAAGGTTACAACGAGCGTCAAACAGCTGTTTTGAAATGGAACGAAACCACGCCAGACTATCCAAAACTGGAATCGAACGCCCCCCCCAGAACTACACATGCTGGCTATTGTGTTTCGCAAAATGTTCTATGGAACGTCTCTACTGAACGTTTTCGTTTTTCCCACAATTAGAAGTTGCCAGTATTAAACACATTGGTGTTATCAAATGTAAAACATATAATTAATAAATGGGTGAAAATCGCTTGTGTCCATAATGCGCAGCATTAATACCCATATGACAGCTCATTGTTACTTTGTAATTCTACTCCACTACAATTCAGAGGTTAACCTGGTATTTTTACTCCACTGCATTTATTTGAATTACTTTGCAGATTCTGATTAATGATGTGAAATATAAACAACCCTTAAATCAGACTTTAGTTATACCTGAGTACAATTCAGGTAAGGTGATTGTCAAGTGCCAACAATCAGGAGAGATATTTGATAGTTGGTGCTTGAGAAGACTAAACATTTATCTTTAATTGACATGAATGGAAACAAGTAATAAAGTATATTCATTACTCGTTATTCTCTACTAATAGTTAATTAAAGACTCTATATTATGGCTATTTTGCACATCCCTTTCAAGATTTCAAGATTTTCAAAGGTTTATTGACATAATCATATCACAACTACGGTGTATGCAATGAATGAAAATCTTAGGTCACAGGTTCCTCAACAGCGCATTACAAGACATCTATCAATATGTGTGTACCTCCACCATTAAACTGTCATATTCTGCACATTTCTTATACTATCTACATAAGAGTATAATTCATATGTATAATATCAGTTAAAATAAGTGCTTCAACATAGTTAACATTGCAGGAAAGCAATTATGTTAAGTACTTTGTCAGGCTTAATATTTATCTGTAGATAGATACCCCCAAAGTTGTTTTCTTATTTAAAAGAAGACCTTAATCTAAAGTATTATTTAATGTTTAAATAAAGGTTAATTCGTTTTTCTGTTTTGCACATCCTCCTATTAATATCTTTGTACATCCTGCACTAAACTGTTTTATTGTAGAGATCACTTATAGTATCTTCTTGATTTTTTATATTCTATATTTCTATCACATACCTTCTACTTTACCCCTATGAAAGTATGTACTCTTAATATTTTTTTAATCAAATATAACACATCAAAACGATAATTCAATAATGTGCTATAACCACTAGGCGGTGCACACAAGGTACACACAGCCATAATAACTTTGTATTATTAATGTGGACACTTATGTATGTACAACATCTGAAGATGTGTAGTTTTATTCATGCTTTCACATCATTTTACAGCATATTGCTATATTATTTCAGACTCAGTATTTACATCCTTATATTCAAAGAAAATCAGTAATATCTTTAAAAACTACAAGTCCTTTTATATCAGCTGTGCACCGTTATGGTGTAAATATAACCTATCTGTGAATTAGAACAAATGTAAAAGTCAGCCGAATTAGTGTTGATACTGCAAGGAGACGTATTGTGTGAAGAGAAATTGAAGATGTTGTTTAATTGTTGATATATTTATCACATATTCAGTTTCGGCAGCATTTCTTCCAGTTTTTCCAAAGGTCTTCTCATCAGGGCTCTATAAATAAAGAACTATGGCAGATCTGTAACATGTAATGCAGCCGAACCGTGTATTACAATGCCGTTATGTGATGACTTTCAAAGAGAAAAGCAAGAACACTCGGAATTAAGTATTATTTTATTTTTTAAAAATGTTTTCCGGATTTCATATCATATAAACACCAAATCCCAGCATGCATTGCGGCTAAAACATCCAATAAGCGAGTTTAAACCATAGCTGAGGATCTTGGGTAATCGCTCGAAATGCCTACGTCTGTTTCCGGTTATTTTTATTTTGAAATTCAGTTCCTGACGGACGCCAAAAAAGCCCGAGATTATGGAATTAAACCAATAAATAAAAGCAAGGATAATTGTGTGTTATTGGTGAGTAAATAACACTGTGTTATTTTGAAAAGAATAATAAATTAGAAGGAAAAAAAGATTTAAAAAATACAGATTTCAGTATTCTGAGGCTCTGAGCCCCATTTATTTTCCTCACAGACGGCAACAAAAGTGTGAAATTATACGATTTAAAATAAAAGCAATACTTGTGGCTTGATATTGAGTAAGAACATGTTTTTATGAACCACACAGCTTCCGGTCTTCCACGACCCGACCGGAGAAAAAGACGTGTTTGTGAACACGAAATGCTATGAGACTGGGTTGGCGGTAGCTGAGCGTGGACAGAACACCTCCAGAAGAACCAGCATTTCAATTATTATACTACAAGTGAAAATATATGTAAGTATTGATCATTTGTGTTGTTTGTGCTGTACTATACGGTCTGTTTCTTTATTGTGGTATGTGAGAAGTAAAGCTGTGCTATGAAAGTTAGCTTTTGCTACCTTTAGATCCATAACAATGCAAGCTAAGTAGCCTAACAGTTAGCTACATAGCTAGCAGTGAGTGAGCGTTCAGACACCGGCGCACACACTCAAACGGACTCGTGTGCCTGACTCTACCAACAGGCTTTCATGATTCTGTTTAGATATGCAAGTATAAGCTATGATAGCTTGTTTTATTAACACGCTAATTTGATATGAAAATCAATGGAGGCTGAGTTAACTTTGTAGGAAAACCTACCGTCCATGATGTCCCTGAGCTGTGTTTTATTTGTTAACTTCATATTTTTCATTTCCTAAAACATTTGTTTTCCTCTCATATTAACAGTGTGGATCATTGAGACAGCGTGGCGTCCAGAGTCTTATCCCGTTTTCCCACTTCCTCTGAGGGGACAGCACGGAGCCCCCCTCCGCATGAAGACATCCGCACCAAACATTGCGTAGGCTACCGGCGAGGAAAGTGCGTACATCACTTCCTACGCCGGTTTCCCTTTATAAATCACAATCGACTCGAAATGCGGCGCAGCTTTTGCGGGCTTCACGTAACGCCCATATTTGCCTATAAATAGTCAAAGAAACGCCCATTCATTCTGACTGACTTTATGAAGAAGATCGCAGGAAATGACACAGAACAGCTAAAAAAGACATCTCACACCGTGTCAGATTTTGGTTATTTCGGGGAGGTGGAGATAAATCATATTGTTTGGTGGATGCCGTTTGAACCAGAGTAGCAGCATGGAGGTCGGATCGTCACCAACATAAATAAATAAGTGGTCCGAAAAAGGTTAGGTCTCAACCCCCCCCCACCCCACCCCACAGCAACTCTATACCCACCAGTTAAAGGAAATCCAACTAATGTGTTGTGTTATATTAGCTGTACAATTTACCACATATGGTGTTCTTAGTTTCCATACCTCCTGTGTTTTACGAGAGACTTATCAACGGCATAAAACACGATTAAACATGATAGTATATAAAACCATGCTCGTCTCTACAACCTATAGAAATGCAAAACAGCCTCAGTTTAGACGTAATTCTGTCCTCCTGCTTACCGCATCATTTATGAGAAAACATTTCATAACATTAACACAACATATTCGAGGTAGTTTTAAATAACATATCCGTATTTATTTATTTCTCCAAGTTATGTTTTTGTGTGCACTGAGGAGTCGCAAACAGGCGTTTGTTTAATCATTTTAAGATTGGCTTTAATCAATGTTTGAACATGAATTCTTCATATGATAAATGAGAGGTAACATTTTATTTATGGTATTATTTCCACATATTTCTCTCCATTCTTCCTTCTGCCAACGGTGTCGCAGTTTCTCGTCTCTCCCGTTGTTGTGCTTAGTGCGTACGCATAGGTTAGAGTTTGCGTGGAGGACCGCACATTTTCCCGTCAAGTTAGTATTTTATAAATCGCAAACATTGCGTAGAAACTGGCGTACGCCATCTTTTGAGCGTATATCCCTTTATAAATGAGGCCCCTGCACCAGCTTCATCCACGCTGGCGTTGCTGTTATCACAGTGTAATTTCATTTGACCAAATGTCTTTACTGTACATATACATTTAATATATTTTATTACTATCAACCTTTTTGTTGTATGTCCTTTTATTTAAAACGTTCTTTGAGACTTCTTGTTCAAATTAAAATGTTTGTATAATCACTCTTTTGTCTTTATTCGACATGAAAATGTTAGAGATTCCATTCAAATCTGTTGATTATTCATATCTTCCTCAGGCTAGGAATAGTATGTTGAGTTTAAATGTATATAATTTTCTCACAGAAAGAGACAACACAGTTTGTATCCATTGTGTATGAATGCTTCAGCTCTTCAGACCAACATAGTAAGATGTGAGCATGTTCCTAATTGTTTTTTTAATCTATAAAATAAATAAATAAATAGACAGACACTTTATCAATCCCAAATTGGGAAATTATTAAACAGCAGCAGTGTGTTAAGGTATTAACATATTTAAAGTTGGAATACAGTATAAACTACACATCACAAGTCTAATGCACAGCAATCCATAAGAGAAGTCCGATATGTTCATGAAAACTCCCCAGGAGGAGACACCGACACTAACGTGGCCGAGTGGACTCCGGAGTTTTCTGCATGAGTTGCACTGTATGATCTGTGGTGTAGTGTGCTATCACTCAAAAGCTGAGTAGCCAATGAAGACGCACCCCTGAAAGTCCCGCCCACCTGGGATGTTTGTGTCAAAATCGAAAACAAAAAATGAGGGAGCGGAAACGAGAAGAGCTGCAGCGAGAGCAAAATTCTGATCATTGAGAAAGAAGCAAAGAGAACTGCAAACAAAAAGATATGTTAAAACAAAGAAAAAAGACTTCTAGTTTACATGATTACACAAATGATTTGTTTGCAACTTATAGTTTTATTTTTGAAATAAAATGTATTTTGCTTGACTCAGTTTTTTTTCCTCTTAAACTCTTAGTTTTGCTTTATTCTGAGAAAGTGTTGCTTTATCTTTATGAAACAAAACTAATCCCATAAAACCTAGGAATGTGAGGAGGAACAGAAGCAGCGTCACACACACTCACCGACAGCAGGTCCTTGCAAATTGACGCCGATTGAAGCCTCTGCACAAACATCATGAAGCAGTACTCCCACAAGGCTTTGCTTCAACCCAGACATCCCCTTATCGGGAGTGAAAGAGTGAAATCCACTGCATTGATGGGCGTTCAATATCCAGACAGAAGGATGCACAAAAGTACTTAAAAAGTGCCATAAGGGCAAACACACACACAGTACATGACCTGGTGCTTTTCAAAGTACTGCCCATTGCCTAGTAACCTCTTTAAAATATCATTCTATCAGACAGGATATTTATCTGTTGCTGTTCATGGTGCGTTCAAAAGCCACGCTCGGATTGCTGTTGGAATGAGACAGGGCAGAACGTAAATTCGGAATGAATGCACACAGTGAATATGTGAAAGTAACTTTTTAGTTATTTAAAAGTAATTTGTTTGTTAATTCCTGAATAATTAAAACACTGTCTTTCTAACAACAATGTTTTCACCCTCAATGAAAACTGTTGTATTGTGCACTAAAGCAGAGTGACATGTCAAGATATACTAAACAGCATATTGTTCTTTTATCTTCATTAAAAATGTCATTTTTTGCCATTTCTCTACTTCTTATAATGTGTTTGTCTTCGCCAAGACAGTTCAAATAAGTCACATTACTTACCAGAAGATTGTTATTGGTTTTCTGACTGGTAGGAGACCGTTTAATATCCTGCCAGGTATAAAGCATGTATAATATTAGTCCAGACTACCATTGATATTGCCATTGGGTTTTTACCTTAGCAAGATAAACCTAAACAAGAAAACACAAGGTCTCTTAGTCAAATGTAAATATTTCCTCATGACTGTCCATAGTAATCGTAAATAAATCACAATTCTTATATCCTAAGTTATATTGTTCTATTTTTGGAAATCAATTAACGACAGAAGAAAATGACAACTATTGTTCAGAAACCCTGCATCTATAAACATTGACACATTGCATGGAGATTGTTTGCAGAAAGTAAATGACACTCGGGGATCCCTAAAGTGCTTTGCCAGTTTGTCTTGTTTCTTGGCAATTATTGGTAGCCAGTTACCTTGTTAACTGATTATAATCATTCTGGGAAGACAAAAAGCCGCATCAATCACCACCATCGTATCAAATATCGACCCTCTTCAAATAGAGTTAATGACACTGATGTTATACAAGTGCACTGTATTTTCCTCTGCTCTTTTGCTTTTCCCAGATGGATTTTCTCAGGTTTATTGCTCATAGTTCTGAGCCACAAAAAGCTAATATGCAGAAAATCACTCCGGGTGCTTCATGGCCACCTTTACCATTTCCGAAGCAAAATACCCTGCTAATACATCACGGTAATAGTGGGCACACAATCGCACACACAAACTGAGTGATCCCCCAGCTGCTAGCAGCGAGGGCAGTGCAGGACCATTAGCCTGACACTTAGACACACACCATGTCTTTCATTGGCCGTGAATGACATATACCGCTCTGTGGGTGTCCCTGGTCATCGGTGAGACCAACAACTGCTACAAAGCCATGGCTTCGATAACACATTTTCCTAAAATAACGCACAGGGGGCTCTTCAACAACCCACAGCAGCTCAGCGTGTGTGCACAAGGCCTGTGTGTGTTTGTGTGTGTGTAGGTTATCGCCACTGAGGGGCCCATAACGGTCTCAGTGCTTCAGCACCGTGAGTAAACTGTGTGGAAGTGTAGCCAAACAAGAATAGACACACGCGCCTGACCACACACACACACACACACACACACACACACACACACACACACACCCACACACACACACACACACACACACACACACACACACCACACACACACACACACACACACACACACACGCACGCACACACACACACACACACACACACACACACACACACACACACACACGCACGCACACACACAGGGTAGATATATATACGACCTCAGGGTTGGGTATGAAGGGCTGGCCAGGGTGATGTATAGGCCAAGGCCTCGGTCATAGATCTAATAGATACAATGGACTCTGGAGCACACACACACACACACACACACACACACACACACACACACACACACACACACACACACACACACACCACACACCACACACACACACACACCACACACACACACACACACACACACATACACACACACACACACACACACACACACACACACACACACACACACACACACACACACACACGTCTGGCCATGGCAGAGAGCTGGGTGATAGCCGCTGATGAACTCCTTCTCTCCTACACCCACACACACTGAACACTGTCTACCTCATGTCAGCCATACGACAGGCTGTCAATTCATACATCCATGCATGTTGTACCGTGGTGTAACTGGCTGTAAGTGGTGTACAGCAGGCTTGTTTTGCTGCGATGTGCAGCGTCATCCACTCCTCTGGCTCCGGGCGAGCCATCTGCTGGAGCTGAATGTGATAACCAGGCAGATAATCCACTCCACTGTCTGCTCGCTATACTTTGAGCTGCACGTCTCAGATGGTGCAGGCAGCTGTTTGGTGGCCGGTCTAAGAGAAGCCTTATTTATTGTTGCATTACTCGAGAACAGGATCTCTGCTTTATTTACTTTTATTGCCAAAGACGTAGGTTCTTGCCAGGAACAACTACTGGTAAGTCCCATCAGGGGGCTACTTAAAGCTGAAACAGATTACTCTCCCCTTAGTGTTCAAATAAGGGATTCAAAACCTGATCCTGATCCACCTAAAGAGATTAACATCTAAAGTTGAAATTTCTCATCGGATTGATGCACAAGAGGCGCATTCACACCGCAGTACTTTTCCCACAAAGGTTCATGAGAACTTAGTTCATGAGAACTCTTTAGTTCTCATGAACTAAGTACAGATCGCGTTCACACCGGAAAAAGTCCCTGGCGGAGGATTAGGCAAATGAAGCCGCTGACGTCACTTCTTCTTCTTCTGCTTTGGGTTTACTGGCAGGCCGCAAACCACTT